CGCCAAATTTCATCACAGATAGCGCCTGAACGGCTTGTGCTAGAACAGTCAAATTTGGTGACTTTTCCTGAAAAATATCAGGGAACAATTTCATATTAATTAGATGAGTTTCTGATTTTTTGCGTTGCCATGGCAACAGGGTTCTGACAGGCAGTTTTTGGAAAAATCAGTAAATTTGGTTTTGTAGGTTTTATGTTTATTAAACTTCCTTTTTAACATTGATAACATCTTATATAATAATGTATAATTTCTATCATTAAATATTCATAATTTATGCTAATTTGATGACGTCATCGGTCAAAATCCAAGATGGCGGACCAGATAATTAGCTGTTGTGTTACCATGTTTTTTTCACTAATTTTTCGTCTTAATCCCGTTTTTTTATAAAAACGTTCATATGAGCATCTTTAGTCCATTTGCGTTGCGTTTTGAGGCAAAATCTTGAAAAAAATGCAATTTTCAAAATTCAAGATTTTCAATTCAAGATGGCCGACAGCTTAATTATGCATGACTTCATTTTAATGACGTCACTTTGAGGTCAGCGTTATTGCCAAGGGCAACATAAGTATTAGCATACATTAATATTCCATCATAGACATTTTTGTTAAAGTTTGGTTGTTTTCCAATAAGTTTAAAGGAAAAAAACTATTTTTGACGGTTTTACAAAAAAAAATCATATAAATGACGTCATAACTACACAAAATTTTTTAGTATGCATTAATTTAATTTTATTATTTAATCTAATCACAGATAACTAGGAAAAAAGTCACTGAATCGTTATAAAAATCAGTCACTACCAGCTGCCCTTCCTGTCCCACGGCCACGCCTTCTGGCTCAAGCCCAGTCTCAAATGTCCGGACATACTCGCCGTGACGTGTGAACATCTGTACCCTCTTGTTCTCACGGTCCGCCACGATGACCCGAGCGGTCCGTACAGATGCCGCGGGAAAACCGCAGTTGACCTTCACCACTTCCCTGACCTCCAAACTTCAGCAGGAACTTCCCGGACTCGTCATACACGTAGACATAATTAGTGTTCCAGTCCGACACAAGAATGTTCCCTTCCCCGTCCACAGTAATGTAGCGGGGGCGGCTCATCTCACCCCAAGGATGTCCGAACCTCCGCACCAGAGAGCCGTCCGGACGGAACACCTCAACTTCACCATTGTCTGCATCAGTCACCAGGATGTGGATATTGCGCATGTCCACCGCAATCCCACGGTATTCACTGCTTTTCTGAAGATGCAACTGTGTCATGGCGGTTCCATCCGTGCTGTACTGTACAACATGATCGGCTGATTCACCACTCCCCACTACCCACAGTGTGCCGTTACCGTCCATAGAAACGTCATATGGCCGCATGCCCTTGTCTTCTGTACTCGGTACGACTGTTGGGAAGTTGCGGAGGTAAACCCCCTCTGTGGTGTGGATTTGGACTCGCCTGTTGCCTGTATCAGCCACAAATATCTCGTCACCACACGACACAACAATGCTGCAGCGGCCCATATAAATTTCCCTTCCCGCCGTAAGTGATCTTACCCTGTCTGAAGACTCCAGTAGTACGAGGTGCCGCTGCCTCTGTCACTGCGGACGTGGGTCGCTTTTGCTCTGCTTGAACGTTAACTGCAGCTGCCATTCTAAAACAAAGTGACCATAGCTTATAAATATGCATAGTTATAGTAGTATAGTAGCAGCAGCAGCAGTAGTAGTAGTAGTGGTGGTAGCCTTGATGGGCTCGGAGAGCCTCATAGAGTTATGGTAATTGACAGTCATTTCATAGTACTTTTACCAATAGTAAATGGAATCCGTAACTCACCTCTCCTTTAAATTACAACGAAGAAAATTAAAGAAATGCTCTAAACGTCGCCCCTCCTTTAACCCTACCTAGACCGGGCTTTTTTTGACATGGGGGGACGGGGGGGGGC